CTCAGCTCTGCCCGCAGCCTTCTCTTCTCCAGGCTGAACACCCCCAACTCTCCCAGCCTGGCCTCAGAGCAGAGGGGCTCCAGCCCTCACAGCATTTTAGTAGCCCTCCTCTGGCCCCGCTCCAACAGGTCCATGTCCTCCTTGTGCTGAGGGCTCCCGAGCTGGACGCAGGGCTCCAGGGGAGGTCTCCCCAGAGCAGAGCAGAGGGGTGGAATCCCCTCCCTTGCCCTGCTGGCCACACTTCTTTTGATGCAGCCAAGGACATGGTTGGCCTTCTGGGCTGCGAGCACACATCAATGGCTCACGTCCAGCTTTTCATCCACCAGCACTCTCAAGTCCCTCTGGGCAGGGCTGCTCTCCATCCCTTCTTCCCCCAGCCTGTATGGATACCGGGGCTTACCCCGACCCAGGGGCAGGACTTTGCACTTGGCCTTGTTGAACCTCATGAGGGCAGGCCCACCTCTCCAGCTTGTCCAGGTATCATATGCTATTCTACAACCCTTGAAAGAGGTAGAGCAGGTGGAATCTGAAGAGGGGATATTTGTTCAGGTCCTGTGTTTAAACTGTTCTCTGGGTGGTTTACATGGTCAAAGCCATATTTCAGAGGCATTGGGTTACCGTGAAATGGATTGATAGTGTGAACAGGGTGGTAGGCCAAAAGCTGGTAGAACGTGTAGTAGTCGTCCTGGGCCTTCAACATACATTGTAACCCAAAGGTGAACATAAGAAGCAAAGATCTGAACATACTTCTAGATCCTAAGGATGGTACTTTTTAACAGCTGCTACTCTTGAAGGAAAGTTTTGTATTTTTTTCAATGGGTGTAGCAGTGCTTTTTGTAACTTTTCTCATGGTGTGTTACCTTCCCTGCTGATCTTGTTAGCTAACTCCTGCCATTCCTGGAATCTTTGCTAGAAACTGTGCCCCTGAAGAGGCTTTTGCTTCTTTTCTTGTTTTCTGGGATTCTGCCTTGCTGTTTTTATTTCTGCTTGTTATGACCAGTTCATCTTATTCCACACTAAAGAGAGAGTCCTGTAGCTAATCTGGAAAGAAAAAAGACATTGTAGAATTTATTGAGAAAGTTTAGAGGTAGCTAAACGACATCAGGTCTGGCAATTTCAGTGTCTTAGTTTTAAATCCCTTGGAGTTGCATTTGTGGAATGATTCAAAGTGGCTGAGAGTCTTGGTTCCGTTTTGGGAGATAGGAGTTGTTTTGGTTTTAAATGTCTATGTTTAGATGAACATTGTGGACACAAAAGGTAGCACTTAGTTGCCTGACTATTGGCGTCTAATGTCATCTTCGGTGATGTGCCCAGATGCTCTAACAGGCATCTTAGATACCGACAACGGCTTGAATTGTCTCAGGTTGTTTAGGCAGCTGAATCCCATTCGACGATCGTGACTTGACTCTGAGATGCTGTGGAGGAGCAGCTTGAACAGGGTTTTAATTGATATACAATAGCTTATGCTGGTTATCAGCAGAGAAAATGTGGCTCGGGATTTTTTTTGCATTCCTCTCGTGAGTGAGATTTACAGCTTCTTGGGCCTCTGATAAGTGACAGAGCTGTAGAACAAAGCAACAATACAGGGGGATGTGTACCAAAAATAAATCTAGTGGGTTAAAAAAAAATAATAAAAGAGTTCAGTTATTTAAAGCTGAAATAACACTTTAATACTTGAGACTTTCTTTGGAGAAGTTTGAGAATGTATTTGTAGGGTTTTTGCCCAGTTTCTGAAAAACCAGCCAAACAATAAAAGCATAAACAGTACTGTCCCTGAACTCGTGTTTAAAATAGAGCAAAAGTTGTGTGCACATGAAAATAGGATTATTGGTCATGCTGTGCAATCATCTTGATATTTTTATCAGAGTCCTTTTTTTTTCCTTTTTGTGGTTGCAGCTCATGATGCTGGTTACTTTAATGCTGAGATGGCACCAATTGAAGTGAAAACGAAAAAGGGAAAAGAAAGTATGCAAAAGGACGAGCACCCAAAACCCCAGACCACTCTGGAACAATTGGCAAAACTCCCATCTATCTTTAAAAAGGATGGAACGGTGACTGCTGGGAATGCTTCAGTGAGTACGTCAACGCCTTGGGTTGTGGAAGTGTCACCTCTAAGGTTCTCCAAATTTATTGTCGCTGTATTTCTGTCTCACTGAGCCACCTTTGGCTGTCAGTGGTGTCTCCTGACAAAAATGATTTCTAATTCTGCAGTTGAATGCCCCTGATTGACTGTTCCAGCCCCACGATGGCAGAGGATCCTTCAGCCTGCCCCTATGTCCTAATATGTGGTTCGGTGGACTGTCGCTGTTCTTTCAGTGAGGCACTGACACTTCATCAGCCTTGAGTTACGCAGTTGATACCTGCAGTGGCTGTACAGAATTAGCCATTCTGCTTTCTTTTGGGGGCGATGATTACTGAACTTTACAAATTACACATTACAAATGATGACTGAGCTTTACAAATCATGCATGATATTAGTGGGCGTGCTGCTGCTGCTCGTCGTGCTACCAGAATTGCGCTACCGCGGTTAAGTATCCTCTGTAGTCCAAACCACATTTTGCTCTTACCCAGAGTAGACTGGGTGCTTAGCAGCGTGTCATTACGGACTGTTCCTCTTACAGTCATTATCTTAATCAATTGATTAATGTTCTTTGGGCCAGAAGGACCACTGTGATCATATAATCTGAATTACTGCCTAAAATAGATCATAGCCACAGTAAGTACGGGTGTCTGTAAAGTATCTTTTATAATTAATACTACATACATTACCCAATATTAATAGTGTTCTTGTAAGTCCGCAGAATGATGTTTCCAGTGCAAGGGAGATTTTAAATGGCAAAAAAATGTATTTTACTTTTCTAAAACATTGGAATTAATTAAGCAACTATACTTAACTTTCTTTCACAGTCCACAGAATAGTGAAAGATTGTGATTTGTTATTTTGAATAAACACTAATACAGTTGTCTGTTAAACATTAATAATAGTGTCTCGGACTCAAGCTTTTTTTGAGGGGCATATTTAGTTGTAAAGTGTGGGGGGTTTTTTGTTTGTTTGTGTTTTCTCCACTCAGAATGCTTTTCTCTCTTATTGCAAGGGGGTGTGTGATGGAGCTGGTGCAGTCATCATTGCCAGCGAATCAGCACTTAAAAAGCACAGCCTCACTCCTCTGGCAAGAGTGGTAGCCTATCACTCAGCTGGCTGTGATCCTTCCATAATGGGCATTGGTAAGTTGCAGTAAGGAGCATTATTTTATAGCGTCGAGCAACATTAAAATATTCTCGTGTTGGGCTTTCTAAAGGAAAGAAAAGGTAGGCTGCAGCGTGCTGAGTCTAGTAGCTCTGAAGATGTTTGTGTGGCTCACTACAGCCAGGCTGTTCCTTCCGCAGCATCAGTCTGTCCCTCTTACACAGAGGGACTGACTGACTCCCCAGGTTGGCTGAAGGGAGATGTGCAGTGCCTGGCCTATAGCGTAAGCACTGAACTGTAGTCCCCCAGGCACCTTTTTTTTAATTATTTTTACTCTCTCTGTTAGTAAGTCAAGAAATAGTCACTCAATTTTTTTAAAACCAGTTTTCTCCTGAAACTCAGTTTAGTTTCCTGTAAGCTTTAAATCCCATTATTAAATGTGTAACGAAGAGTTGTCTTCCTCACCTCTTGCTGAAGGAGTATAGGCTCTGGGTCTCACTTTCAGCAGTTACTTGGTTGCTCAAGCTAAGATTGGATTCCAGGATCCACATCTGTTCGGGTATTATTTTGGCAAACCAACTACATCTCTTTTATTTTTAGTCCCATATTTTATGCTTCCTAATCAAGTAGCTGTTAACGCAAACAAACCCTCAAAGCCAATCCAGACATCCCAGGATTTTCCCCTTCTGTTTAGTTTGTAGACGGCATTGTATCCCAGCATCGCTTTGCCTTTCTGCCATTCTGTTCAGAGAGGTCATTGTTGACTGGTTCCGTGTGTTGGTAGAAATGTAAATGAAGCATTGTCAGATTTCTTTTCTTGATCAGACTATCTGACTAACACAACCTTCAAAGCAAATGTAGAGGGAGGGTTTCTTTCGCTAGACTTCATGCTGTCATTGTGCTTTCTAAACTAGCCCATTCTTTCTAGGTCAGGCAACTCCTTCAGCTTGTTTAAAAACTTCATAAATCATATGGAGAAACAGTTAGTATCCTAACTCCTTAACACCACAGCTTGTCCCCAGCAACTCAAAAAGACCAGATGAGATTCATCGACATGACAGCAACAGATCTGAGAACAGGGGCTCAGACTGAGCAACTGCCCTTTCACATACCGATAGTGATAGGGAGTCCGGCCTCACAATGTCTAGTGAGAGAACTCATTATTTTAGGGAAAAAAGAGAGAGAGAGAGGGGTGGAGGGAAAGTCTGCTTGGCTGTCATTAATGGTCTTTGTATTGTCCACATGAGACCCTCCCATTACTCTCACGCGTAACGGGCATACTAAAATCTGTCTGTAATGAGATGCATTTAGAGTCTAGGACTAAGCCGCCTGAGGTTTTCTAATAGTCCACTGGGGTTTGAGCTGGGCCCTTCTTTTAATTTTTCTGTCTCTTTGGTCATTTACTTGTTTTTATGGTTTTTATTCTTTGAGCTATGAGTTTTCAACACCATTTTTTGAGAGCAAGATAGCATTTAGGACTGTTAACATTTTAGGACTGGTTTTTTTTTGTCTAATGATCAGCTACCATCTAACATCTCAATATCTTTGTCCTACAAGCACGGATCAGATTAGCCCTTTCAAATTCTCTTTGAGTGCCTCTTTCCTTAGGTAGCTGTGCTTTGAGATTAATCTCTGCTAGTGGATTATACTAGGTCGTAGATGTCAGCTTTCTTCCAGAGAACAGTTTTATTGCCAGACTCTGTAATGTTCTCAAAAAAAAAATCTTAGTGTCTTCAGTTGGCCAGGACCTGGGTCCAAGGGAACATTTTATTGTTAGGTTTTTTGACTAGAAGATTTTCAGATAAGTTATATTAAAACAGTACCCATAACTGAACGCATGACCAGCGAACTCTAGAACAGCCTGCCTTTTTCTTCTTTGTATACCTGGAAGCTACAAAATGTAGCAAAGAATAAGCTGAACGAAGAGTATTGGAAAGGAGACTGCCTCAAAACTGTGGTGAAGTTTTATTTGGCTGGGGACTGTCAGTTCTCTTGACTTGAAAGCTATGCGTGTGCTTGCCAACATAGCTGTGCAGCCTTAGTGACATTCTTAACTTTCCCTGGCAGTGTGTCGAGAAGGCTGCCAAATAATTTTGACATTTAGGGGTTCTCTTACCACCTAATAAAGCAGGTGAGTGACCTATCCAGAATTCATTGGCCGCACAGAGGCTCGTGGGAGGGGATCTGACGAGGCTTCATGAAGCTACCCTATGTATAATATGTATAAGCCTTTATTTAATTAATTTTTATTTAACTAACTGTGCATACAATTTTCCAAATAGGCCCTGTACCTGCAATTACCGAGGTTCTGAAGAAAGCAGGATTGACCCTGAAGGACATGGATTTGGTAGAGGTAAGGAGTTTTTAACATGGACAGTGAGGTTACTCCTGATCTTTTTAGCAGAAACGCTCCACTCATACGTGTAGCCTGCCATCACAAGGTAGGTGTTTCTGCATGTCTGGAGGCCCCCTGTTTTAGCTCGCCTGTCCTAACATCTATCCATCTAGTTTCTACCACACAGTCATTACAAAAATCTCAGGCACGTGGAAATTGAAAATAGCGTGATAGCGTTCCATGGAAAAAAATATCCCTGTGTGACATGAGATTTTACTCTGCTGGCTGCACTGTTAATGTTTTAAGTTAGATCAAGCCTCTCCCTTGTGAAAAATGCCATTTTTTGTCAGAGCAATATGTCATGAAAAAATGTCATGAACACATTGCATCAGAATGTACCACACCTTTTTTTTTTATAAAATAATAATACATAACTTGCTTTGTATCACAGGTACCAGAAGGATTTGAATTTACATTAGGTTGGCCTGAGAATTTGTATGTTGTCTGAGTGCGCTTCTGTAAACACAATGTTTTAATATTTTTCTCAATCAAAACGACCTGGAGAAGAAGTGCACTTCATTTAATCTTGTGTGCACACATGCTGCTGAAAGCTTGTGTGGAAAGGGTAGGGCTGGAACCCCAGGCTGCTGGGGAGCGGCTGGGGGAGCTGGGGGTGTTCAGCCTGGAGCAGAGGAGGCTGAGGGGAGCCCTCATCGCTCCCTACAACTGCCTGAGAGGAGGGGGGAGCCGGGGGGGTCGGGCTCTGCTCCCAGGGAAGGGGCGATGGGACGAGGGGCACCGGCCTCAAGTTGTGCCAGGGCAGGGTGAGGTTGGCCATGGGGAACAATTCCTTCCCCTTGGGGCTGTCAGGCACTGGGAGGGGCTGCCCAGGGAAGGGGTCGAGTCCCCACCCCTGGGGGGATTTAACAGCCGGGCAGAGGCGGTGCTGAGGGCCAGGGTTTGGGGGTGGGATGGCAGGGGTAGGGTGATGGTTGGGCTTGATGATCTTAGAGGTCTTTTCCAACCTAAAAGATTCTGTGATTTAATGAAAGTCAGACCTGAACAGTTGTGTTGTTTCTCTGATGTTTTAGGTGAACGAGGCATTTGCACCTCAGTATCTAGCTGTCGAAAAAGCTTTGGGCCTTGACCCTGAAAAAACCAATGTCAACGGAGGTGCCATTGCTTTAGGTCATCCTTTGGGTGCTTCAGGATCACGGATCACAGCTCATCTGGTTCATGAATTAAGGTACGCACGTAACCGATAGCTGCTGGTATTTACGCCTGCAAAAGATTTTTGGTATGGATACTGTGTGACTAAAATCTTCCAGTCTGGGGACTTAAAACTCTCCACACTGAAGTGTACTGCTTTCTACAAATCCGTTACCTTTGTGCTGTAGTCCAGGTCCTGCAGCCTGGCTCTTATTCTGTTGTCATTACAGGATTTTTTGCTCCCTCTAGATCTGATCCAAGCCTGCAGTAGTCAGTGGGAAGTTTTCCTTTACTGAAATGGCCTTTGAGCACAGTCTGTGCTTTTCTTAACAGGATCCATTTAAAAGGCTTTGTCATCACCTTCTTTCTTCTTTATTCCATCGTCAGGAATTTTCACTCTTTTGGCTTACTTGATATGCTTAGCACCATTTTAATCTGAATTTCCTTTTTTTTTCCCCTCGGGGCAGAGATCCCTGTATCTTTTTTCTTGTACCCGCAACACTGTATTAGTGTTCAACCATAAAGCCTCAGGGAATTTGCACTTTGCAGAAAACTGTTTCTTGGTGCGTAGCTTCTAAAAACTACCTTGGCAATAAAATCAGATTTTACTTAACGCCATTTTTATTATGTGTTGAAACCACAAGTATCCCGTAATGTCATTCCTTGCTGGTTTATGTTCCTAAGAACAATACAACATACCATCTCTTAGATGGTAAAAGACTCAGCCTGCAACTTCTCCTTTTTCTACAGAAATATTTCAACATCAGTTGAGGCTTCACGATATTTTTCTAGGAAAAGAGGAACCTACACATTCTAAAACATCTTCTTTAGTAGTACCGAGTTGACAGATAGTTTCCTTTCATAAAATCAGGACAACAGCTACTATGGTTTCAGAAATGTAAATAATTTTCACTGTTTCTTTTTCTGTGCAGGCGTCGTGGTGGGAAATACGCAGTTGGGTCAGCTTGCATTGGCGGTGGACAAGGTATTGCTCTTATCATTGAGAACACAGCCTGAGAGATTATGGAGACTGCAGTGTTGCCCGAATTTCTAATTCCCTGGGAAACTTCTGCTTTTGTGACAATGAAGCGTCACTACCTGCCTTCATTTTGTGCCATTCCTGCAAGGTAAAGGAATAGCTGAGAAGTCTGGATTCTGATTGAAAAGATTAATTAATGTCTTTCTAACTAAAGGAAGTGTAACAGTAATATAATTTCCCACCGATGAAGTATTTTCTAAAAGCCTCTTTTCAATCAAAGTTAATGTATCTAGGCAAAATTCTTTTAATTTCCTGAGGAAATTGCCTGTTAAACTTTCACCAAACCTGCCTTAAAATAGCAGTCAGTGCAGCTTTTTAAGCAAGTATTGCTTAAACTACTTCAGCTACTGTTGCTATCTGGCACACGTGCCTCTTTTATCATCAGGAAATGTGAAAATTTAATTGGAGACCTTCTGAAGTGTATGCTGATTGCAGATTGATGCCTATAACCTGTACCCTGCTGTTTTGCAAGGGAAAAGAAAATGAGCCAAAGCTGAAATTTCCATTGTGCCTCCCAAAAGAACAATAAATACAACAGAAAAAAAGGGCTTGGTGTTCGTTTGTTTGTTTGGGATTTTTTTTTAAAGTAAATCACTGTGAGAATTGGTACTTTTGGTAAGTCAGTGTTTGTTTTTGGAGAGACTGTTTTTCCTGGCTGAGAAATAACTGGTGTTTATTAGGTAGTTTCTAGAAAATGCTAGCAAATCTGCCAGCCTCCCAAGAAGGGGAGTAGTTGCATCGAACTGGGCTGCTGCATGGTAACTGCATACACACAGCAGCTCATTTCTTATCTTCCTCGGATAGTATTATCTGTATCTCTTGCGTGACTTATCATGGGCTGTTCTTAGTTAATTTGAGAAGTGCACCGTCTTTGAGAAGTCGTCTCGCCTCTCGCAGGCAGTGGACTTGGAGTTACCAATCATGTGCCGTAAAGTAGATTACATTTGGATGAAAGGAGATCTTCATTGTACTCACTGAATTCCTCTGGGCTCGCTGTACTGTCAAGAGCAACTTGCAGCTTGCTCTGATGTGGATGCCTACATCAGATACTCAGTTGGATGGATCCATGTCAGAGACAGCATGCGCTTCTGTACTGTGCTACGTAGACTAAAATAGCAGCAAAGACTTCAGCCTTTACACTTTCTCATCCTCTGTCCACTGTCAAAATATTGCTTCTTTACAAGTTCTTCTTGCCACTCCAGTGGCATGAGCTGTGACGATTGTGAAAGATGGGGGGGTTCCTCCAAACCTGACTGCCTAGCCTAGCAGGAAATTTGGGTCAAGGCAAGTAGTGTTACAACTGGCGGATAACAGGTGAAGTACACTGATCACCGTTCCTGGGGGTTTTATGGATGCAACATCATTAATGACTGTAGAAATATTTGGTGCTGTTTATATGGATTCAGAAAAACCCAGCTTCCGTAAGGCAGCAAAGTATATGTTCATCCAACACAGTATCTGTTTTTCTGCTGTATCTTAGTAAGTTAGGGTTACCAGAGTTTCTCTGTTCAAGGTAACGGTTGCCGCATGGATTTTATAAAGCGGGATGTTTTCTATTCTTATTTCCTTCCATAATAACCACTAACTAATTCCCTCTTCCTTCATGACTGTGGATAATCACTGAACTCTTATTTTCAGAGAACTGGCCGCAGTTTTTCCAAGATCTCGCCCCTGTGTGGTAACAGTTCTTTCAGAGCTCATCCCTGTGTAGGTACAGTAGAGAATAATCCCCTTCATCCACTTTATTTTGCACGTAATGTTTCATTTTCCCCTTTTGTCACTCAGTTTTTTGAGATCCATGTGTAAATCTAGCTGTGAGAGTTGAATTTGGTCATCCTGAATAATTGTGTCCTTTCTGCAAAGTGCATCACGATGTCCACCTCATTTTCCAGATAACTTAGGAACGTGTTACCAGCGCAGATGACTGTACATCCCGCTAGTAACCTTTCTTTGCTGGGTGAGCCAACTGCTTATTCCCGTATCGTTCCATTTTTATCCTGTTCATTTCCTGTAAGAGCCTCTGATGAGAGGCTTTGTCACACTGAAGTGAAACAGAGAAATCCTTTCTCATGAACTTACTGGGACATAATGTGTTGCACTTCTAACACATGCAACCTCTTCAACAACTTCTAGGTCTTATAAAGTTCAGTGTCTGCTGGCAGGGGCAGTAAGGGAAAATGCCCTTGTTTTGGAAGAAGATTTAATTTCATTCCTTTTGCCTGTCTGTGGCCTCAGGCTGCAGTGCCTGGTGGTATAAACACTCCCTCTAAAGGATGACAAGTTCAGTGTGGTTAGGGAGAACGCAATCCCTTCTTTAGGTTTAAAACCAGCCTAGGTGTTCTAGTTAGGATGAGTTATGTGTGGATTGTCCAAACCTGGGCTTCTGCTCTCTGGTGCCCGTTTGAAATGGGGCTGCTTTGTTAGACTGCTGCCAAAAGGGGTCCTTTGTGTCATTTAAATGGTTGAATGGTGGAAACCACTGGCAATTTGCTCTGCGTAGCCTACCAGTCGAGTGAGTTGTCGGTGACTTTGTCTCCAGGGAGAAGCCCTTCTTCTGAAAGGTGGATGGATGCTCTGGGTTTAGGGGCAATGTGCTGCATTCCTCTTCTGTAGTTCCTGATTTCACTTTGAAATCTAAAGTGTGGTATTCCCCAGAGTACAAAACCAGGTCCTGTGCTAGGTCGTGCACAAGCACAGTTTGCTGGGCTTCAGAATATTGGCTTTTTCTTACCAAGTTATTATTAAAGACTAGCACAAGCATTGACATTTGATTCCTGAGCCAATCTTCCACGATATATGGGGGTGCCTAGCCTTGAGGGTTTGATCTGAGCCTGTCTTTACTAGCAAGCCCAATCATTTATTACAGAGTAACAGCAGTAATATCTGATCCTTGCACATCATTCCAAAGTACGTTCTCCAGTTTCTCAGCTATAACAATGGTAGAACCGTGTTTCTGCCTTTGGGAAATGAAGACATCTTACTGAGAGCGACCTGGATTTGGGGAATTTAATAGTGTCCTGGAAGGAGCAGAAGATATAGAAGAAAGGTGTTGGATTTTAGAGGGATAATTACATATCTTGACTGTACCAAGTGCATACTTCTTTTATTTCTTTTTAGGCTCAGGTGTATGGTTTGGGTTTGTGTGAGTAGTCACCATGATGCAGCATAATGAAAATGTTGATTTTGTCTTTTTTGAAGTGTGTGAGAAAAGAAAGCATTTGTGGAAAATATCCATTACCTGTGCGGTATTTACTCCTAAACGTAGATGTAGCTTTCTACCGCTGGGTGGTGCATGTTAAACACCCTGCAGATCCCACTGTATTACAAAGGCATTTGCTCTCCGTGTAGCAGCACAGCTCTTCTCGTAAGCGCATGCTAGGTTAACCTTGAAACTGAATCACCCAAAATTTCAGGTCCCATTTCCCCTTTTGTGGGTTTTACACAGGCAGGTGCCATGATACCAACATATCTTTGCTACCGTACACCCCAGAGTCTTCGGTGCCTCTCGATTTCAAGTGAATGAGAACGCATCTGATGTTTTACAGAGTGGGTTCCGACTGCAATTTGAGAGGACGTGTTCAACAGGATGGTGACTGAAGTACTATACCTGACAGAAGACAAAGAAGAGAATAGATTATGATTCCTTTGTCCAGAAAAAAAGCTCTCAAACCTTAATCTGAGGCAAGTGTATGTGAGAGAGAGGGAGAAGGTACAGAGACCTGACAGAGGTAGACTTAACCTGTTGCACTCCTTTCTGCATTATATATAACCAGTTCTGTTATGCTTCTAGTGGAGCTCCAATAATTAAGATGAGATGTTGTGTAGCATTCTATAAAAAGCAAAAATTAAATCTCGAAGCTGCTAAAGTGCACAATTTCAGGCAAGTCTCACCTCACTGTGAGAGTATTTCTAATAAGCTCTTTCTCAATCTGTAAATCCAGACATTTTCCATCTGATGCGATGCTGCTAAGCTGGGCAGGGCTCTGTCTCGCCTCTCCACCGCAGCAGAGTCCATATCTGACTGGGGCAGCTGGATGCCGCACAGGGTCATTCTGAGAGTTCACAAGCTAAGGGTTTAGTGACGGGGGTGCAGTTTCTCTCTTCTGAAAACAGCTACGAGGAACTGGTGATGTCTTTGCTGACTTAGGTACATTTACACAGAAAATTAAATTGAAATGAATAATAGACTGGAGCATGATTGTTGGTTTTAGTTTATAATGAGTAAGTATTTCTATGGAAGATCAGTTAAGAGAAAAAGGTAACATTTTTGAACTTACTTAAGGCTGCCATTTGATAACAAATCCAGCTGTAGGGCTAGTAATGCCAGGTCAAAATCCCGTAGCTGTAGGAATTGCAGGGCAGATCAGGTGTAAACTCAAGCTGCTAATGGACAGCTATTTGAAATTGCCAGCGTGATAAATTCACCCTGGCAGGTATTAAGCCAAAGCAGCTATTGTTTTTCCTTTGGTGGTCATGCTCTTACTCTGATTCAGTAGGAGCAGGGCTGTATGTTCACACCCTGCCTGGGCTGAATGTGTTTTCTGAGAATCAGGAATTGCCCAAATGTGGCATTAAGGATTGTGAAAGCACAGCTTTCATCTCTTTGAAAACCAGCAAGATGGTGAGCTGTCGCACAGAAGATTAAGACAGCAAGCTCAGAACAGTTAACGTGCCAGTCGACGGGACGATTGTGGTACCTGACCTAGACACCAACAGCAGGCAGACTGAATTCTTTTTTTTTTTCTTGTTGTTTCTATGAGTCAAAACCTATGAACTGTGGGGGAGAAAGAAGCAGGAAGAGGAGAAAGGGTTTGGGCTTTTATTTTTGTGTTTCTGCCTGATAACCTATGCGAAATGTTTATCCTTCTTGTTACTAACTAATCGGTTAATGGAGCTTGGAAACACCATCTGACTACATTGCAAAGGAAAAACTCACCCAAGGAGTTTTGCTTTGAGAGATCTCAACATTGTCAGCAAGCTGGAGCTTGGAATTTTTACGGTGTTAGGTTCTTCTGCAAGTTCCTTGCAGTACTGTATCCAAACATGTTTCTTCAATGTTGAGAAAGATTGAGAAAGAAAATACATTTCATGTATTTTCTCTAGCAGTGTATTTATTATAGCTGTTGCCAGGGAGAAAAAAAAAAAATTCTTAATCCCTCTTTATAAACATTTTGTATAAGATACACGTGATAAAATCATTGGGCTTTTTGTTTTTCTTGCAAGAATATTTTACACTGACAGTGGTTTTCCGCTCTTCTGTGGTTATTTATAAATAGAGATTTTTCAGGTCTTGAAAAGTGATTTGCAAAATCTAGAAAGAGTGCAAAGCAGAAGACAGTGTAATTTAAACACAGAAGGGAGAACTTAGGAGATGGCGGCACACTGAGAAGTTGTATTTACTGGACCTCTAATCATTGAATTGACCACTAAACAACTCATTTGCAGGCGTTTTTTTCCTCAAACTCCCAAGGCTAAAGTTTCTCACCCCCACAAAACTAAAGTTATGTTCTTTTTAAGAAAAAGTATACTCACCAGACTCCAGA